AATGAGATCTGGTCTAAAGGTTGTCTAAAGGCAATGTGGTACAATGTGGCAGTGCTTCTTAATCTTGCCCGATCTGTGGCTCTTTTATAACAAACCACTCCTGCTTTCAGGCAGCAAGCTGATCACGAGGATGAGAGAGGCTTTAACTCCTGACAAAAAGTGACACAGCTAAAAAAAAATCCATCTACTATCCCATGAAAAAAAAAACAGGGAATGCAACGAATTTCCCTCCACATGAGGATTAAAATAATAGGTACAGCACAAGACGACCACTGTTGAGGTTTTCAGCGCTGGTCGGGTAACTCTATAAAAAGGGCCAGAGAAAAATGCATGTGTCCAGCAATCAATCAGTCTACAAAAATGTATACAGCCTACCAAAGATAGGTGTGTGTTGAAAATGGCTCAATAGGATGATAAACTCATATAAAAATTCCATTGCCACTTTTTTGGATGGGGTTTTTTATGGAAAAACATACTGTAGCTAACACAACATCAGTATGTATTAATTAATTGCAATGAACCCAAAAGAAAAATAAAACAAAAAATAAAGAGTGAAAGACATGATTGTTAAGGTCAAAGACTCCCCCTGCACAAAAGCTGCCGGATACGATATGGGTACATGTGAACACACAAGATGCATTATCACTGATGGGACACGTGTACACTGCAGGTCAATGGAAAGAGCTAGTGAACCTCTGTCAGGATGGAGTCCCTTTAGACCAGCGATGGCCAACCCTGGTCCTGGAGAGCCACAATCCAGTGGGTTTCATGGGACCTATTTGAGTCGTCAGTTTCTAGATGTGCTAAAACAACCTCATTTGGATCACTTCCACATCTGAAATGAAATGAGAACACAGGCAGCGTGAATGGCTAAGACTTTATTAGACCAATTAACTTTAAACTGCTCTGAACCTGTTTGTCGATCCGTCTTTACAAACTGGCGATTTGATTTAAGGGAAATGTATACAGTACATCGAGCCAGTACCCTGCCTCTACTGCTTCCGAAGAGGACTGCTCCTCTCATGGTGCCACGACACGACGACAGAGCCACATTCCAGACAAGACCTCAACTTTATCCCCAGGTCACTGCTGTGTTTCTACGCTATTTATATTGCACGAGTACAGCCGAGACCTTTATAGAGAGATAAGGTTACTAGCTGTTGTCCCAATTATGGTGGTGTTTAGCACCAATACCCCCCATATAGAGGCAATGGGAAGGTGTCTGTTTAGTCACATCCTCAGTGCAGCAATCTGGGTGGCAGAACCTCCTGTTTTTGCAATGGGAATCAGTTTCCACACTCAGAATCTTACTGGGCGCAAAAGGAAAGAAATCTTGTCTGAATCCACCCCTGTGGGAAGCTTTATCTTCGTCTAAGACACGAGGTTCCCGCTGGACAGAAGCTGCCTGGCAGCCCCCCCATTACTGATCCACCCTCGTTTTCAAACCGCCCCTGTATTTACACTTGCCATCATCTTGCTGGTTCGGCCTTGTCGACTGGGAAACCCAGACTGGGCGAGTATTTTGCAAGGCAAGGCAGCAAATGTGCTTTAATAACAGATTTATTGATACCAGACAGCAGCTGGCTGGATCACAAGCCTAGAGCACTGAGAGAGCAAGGGGCGTGGCACAGAGAAAATGTGCTTTGCTTCAGCAAGGGGTCACCTGTGTTGCCCACACATACAGAGGCCTTAGAGGGAGAACAAGGTCAGCACAGCACAGACCTGTTCTTCTCTCTCCTGGCGAGGCACTGGGTCAAAAGACACAATGAAGGTTCTACACACAGCGGGTGTAGTGACCTTCAGCCCTTATACCTCCAATTTGTCAACTTTGCACTAAACCAAGATGAAACACACCACATCCATTCCGCACAAACCGAGGTGAAAATCTGTCCAAGACAACTGCAATCGCCTGAGAGAAATAGACGAGGACATGGTTAGAATTCTTTTACTTTTCCCAAGTCATGCGGACGCATAGCTATTGTTAACAGACGTGATTCCCCTGATGCCACATAAGCTCAGCAGCTACAAGAGTGGGCTGCACAGCGGCGCAGGTAACACGGCTGCCTCGCAGTGCTGGCCCCTTGGGTTCAATCCTGGACCTGTGGTGCTGTCTGTGTGGAGATTGCATGTTCTCCCTGTCAGGCCCTATGAGAGGGGGGGGCAGCAGGGCTATTTGGCCCAGGCCTCACCTCACAGGGGGGCCTCACCTCATCCAAGGGTGCGTGGTCCTCCACTTCAACCCTTTGGCTGTGTTTCTTGACTTAAGTCAAATTTGGAACTTTTACCATATACTGTGATTCTCGACTAAAGTCCACGGCTGTAAAAAAACATCCCCCTTTCAGAGCCGAATCTACCCGTTAATCTTCCCATCATGCCATTCTTTACATAACAATATTTCTTACCCCTCTTCCCAAACAATGAGGGGGGCTCACCCTGTGAAATGGCCCGGGCCTCCTCTGAGCTCCCAGCAGGCCTGCGACACTTTCCTGGCATAATCCGAAGACATGCTGGTAGGTAAACTGGCTTCTGGGAAAATTGGCCCTGGTGTGAGTGAATCTGTGTCTGTGGGTGCCCTGTGATGGACTGGCATCTCGTCCAGTGAGTATCCTGCCTTGCACCCGTTGGGGCAGAGCGGTGGCACTGTGGCTAAGAATCTGCGCCTGTGGCTAGAAGTTTGCCGGTTCAAATCCTGCAGCCGGCAGAGGAATCCTACTCCGTTGGGCCCCTGAGCAAGGGGCCCCTTAGCCCCAACTGCTCCAGGGGCACCGTATAAATGACAGACCCTGCACTCTGACCCCCAGCTTCTCTCCCTGTCTGTGTGTCTCATGGAGAGCAAGCTGGGGTCTGCAAAAAGTCAAATTCCTAATGCAATAAATTGTATATGGCCAATACAGTGACCTACAGGAGGACATTTGCTTTCTTTATGAGCTTTCCCTGCTTTCTGAAAAGACCCAGAACAAGAGCTATGAAAACACTATTTTACACTCAAATCCATTCAACACACAGCGTCCTGTATGTCCACAGATGTGCTTAAAATCTCCTTTGGTAATGCATTATGAAACACATATCCCATTCGTGACGGGGGCAAAATCAATGTTTTATTTCAGTCGGATCGAAACACAGTCCACGTTTTAAAAGCTTGTCCCATTTTGGGTGAGGAGCAGCAGCGATCATAACAGGCTTTGCAATACTGGATCATGCAAATGATCTTCTCAGAGTATTATTCCACCCTAGTCAAAACTAAAACTAAACCAAGTTAGCAAATAAACACTACGCGCTATGGATTACAACACGAAGATCACAATATTTCACCTGTGGCGTCTTTTTCAGTTACCCGAAGAAGGCTCTAATGTTATTCACATTTCTGCTTTCTTTTTATATTTCAAAGTTGAACTAACCGCTTCTTGCTCCTAGACAAGGCTGCAATTATCACCGTAATCATTATTACCGCCACGGTTACAGCATAAATTAGTAATTTGTTTAAAAATAGGTTAAAGGTTTGATCATTGACGTAGACTTCCGAGGTTGAACGCTGTTCTGGAAATTTGTGCAAAACTCATCGAAAACACGTCTCATTGTTAGCTTTTACATGACTTCAACTTCATGTTGTTTTATCCCAACAACAACAGATGAAAAACAGAAAATACAAACTCCCCAGAAAGCATGGAATCGTAAAAAAAAGAGCTAGATGAGAACAGTCAATGAGCCGGCTACGGGAGGTCGAGGTTAATTTGTGTTTAATACATTTTATTATATTCCGTGAGTTGAAACACAACGCTGGAGGTAAAACACAAATGATATGTAAAATATTTATTGCAGACGGTATGTCCAGGGTCCAGGCACACAAACCCTTGCCAATAGCTGATATTTCTGCCACCTGGCGGTAAAAGATGATCAGAAATTTCTTATTTTAGAAATGTGACTGCATTAAACTTCACCGCCGAATGGCTGAAACATTCTTATTTGATTGTACTCGTTTATTCAACCTTTTCTTTTTACTTTCACTCTGAAATCTAAAATTTACTATTTAAACGCAAATTCTTGCAATTAAAGTTACCAGTTTGAAACGGCATCGGAGCTCACTGGACTGAAAACCACACCGCTGTATTTATATTGTCTATATATATACACACATGTTCATTCACACCTGGGTGCAAGACAGTCTGTAAGAATTCATTTACAAGACCGCTGAGCCTATCAATGTCTTCCCTAAAGAACTAGCTGATAGGAACTCCGGTTGAAAACGTGCTTGGTTGATATTCCGCTCCAAACATTTCGATTTTCAATATATTTTTCTAATCAAGACATACGGCATAGAATGTGTTTAGTTTTTTCAGTCCTCCTCCAAAAATACCAAATAATGATTTATGTAACGTGCACCTTTTACCAAATATTAAATCTTTAGGGGAGAAAAAGCACCTTATTTCAAATGGACAGGGAAAAACCCCACTTCTCAAAACCAAGAAACCCTTAGACCCCGACGTTAAACCAGCCGTGAAAAACGTGTTTCTGTACAAGATCTAGGATAATGAGGAGATAAAACGAGACACGGGATTGCTCAGCCTAATGACCTGAGCGATTGATGACCTGTTAATGCTTATACCTAACCTGCAGATTTCGGAAAACAAGCTACCGAAAAAGCGAAACTCAAAACACGCAGACAGCCGATACATCAGCTGCTACACTGAGCTAAATCATAGTTTTAAAAAAACAGAAAATGCAAAACAAAACAACACCTTACACGGATGCTATTCTGCGATCGTAGCGCCTGCTACTTTGTCACCGCTTTCTATATCCCGATTACAAAAGCGTTTGCGAAAAGATACTTCCTCGCATTGATTCCGCGCACGGAATGGTGGAGGTCTGAGCTCCAAAATCCCTCCCCCCTCCGACAAAAAAAAAAATTCACGCCGCGATCTCGGCGTGGAAATCCACCCGAAAATAGTCACATCCCTTCCCCTCCCCCCCCCCGGGCCACTCGAAACCAATGTTCCGCTAACCTTAGCTGTGGGATAACCTGCGCTTCTTCCGTCCGTTAGTCACACCGCCGCACCAGGTCCTCGGCGAAACCAGGGCTGAAAACTTCCCTGCCTTCTTTGGCAACATCTGGCGTCTGTTTGAGCCGCAGCTGCAGACGGGATCCCGGTGGAAAACCGGCCTCATAGGCGGGGTGTGTTGCTCCGGCAACCTCAATAAACATCAGGCAGGCAACGAGAGGCGGACTTACAATAGAGCACTTGGTGACAAAAGGACGTCTAAGCGATGCTTTCTTTTTAAAAAATGGCATCGATTTAAACAATGTTCTTCGACAAATACGCATTCTGATGCCGTCTTGCTCTTTGCGACTTTCTCGCTTATGCGTTTCATTTGCTCTGGTGCCTAAATTCGGGGATATTTAAAGGGGGCCTCCCGAAATTGGTCATCTATTAAAGCTGAAGACGAGCCACAATATCCCCCAGGCGGAAAAACTGCAGAAGGAATGTTGCTCGGTTTTTCAGTTCAAATTAGACCCAAGAGAATAAAATCGGGATGTGGAACCTCGGCGTGAGAGCAAACAAACAACTTCCTCCTTCTCTTTTATTGTCGTTGATTACACATTACGGAGAAGAAAGGGGAGGTTGCAGGCGACCTATTCTGTTACGTGTAGGTGATTGATCGGGGCTCCCAACCTTTCCTGAAGGCCCGAGGAATTCATGGCTGAGCAGGTTGTTCAATACACCTACCACCCTCTGTGTAAAGACGCTCCACCTGTTCCCAGGTCTCTTAATGTCCATTTGTGATTTGGGTCCTTAGTTATTTTTTTAATTCTTTAGTAGTTAATCGGACGTAATCGTTTCTTACATCGTTGCATTTTTCTCTCTGGTAGCAGAACTAGCCACCAGGCGCAATAGATGAGCCAGTACTCTCGCTTGTAAACTATCTTCTTATTGTATGTTAAATTTTTGTGGATGTTTATCATGGTAAACAGAGTCTTGCTATTTTCGCATCGTCTGCAATAGTTTTTTGGTTATAACACACTGTCACTGTGCTTTTCCACACCCCTCCACAGTAATATTGTTCCACCGTGTTTCCTTAGAAACTTCTGCAGCGGAAACGCATCTTGTCATCGCGCTGATACAACATGATCTAAAGCACGCTAACCACAGGCACGCATAGGCAAAAGTGAAACAAACACTTGGAAATTGGGAAATAATGCAATGAATGGGGAGTTGTCTCATAAGAGTTACCAAAGTTGCCTTTAAAGAGGAGAACTTAACAAGTCAAAGGAAGTTTAATGTTTAATCTGACGTGCAAGACGCTATCGCACAGATTAGGACAAGTGTAGCCTAACATTTTCCAAAGTCATCTTTTATGGGCCCATTTGGTGTTACAGCATCACTAGTGTTTTCATACAAGAGAAAAAAAAGACTGAGAAAGTAGCTCGACGTCTACAGCTGTTAATTTGATTTAAAAAAAACATAAGCAAGAACAACAGAAAAGGGAAGTATTCCTGTAATCGTGGTATGGGGGCACCTGTTAAAATTAACCAGAGCCTCATACTAAAGTCCAGGCTAATGTTTAGCCTCATTTGGCTGTTACCAGAGCGATATAACTCCCTACGCGGGGATAAAACTAGAGCTGGCGAAACCACAACCAGTTTACACAAACAGAGGGAGGATTAAAAAAGAGTGAGACCCTCACGAAGATGCGCATCAGGACTCACGACCCCACGCACAGAACACCCCACGACAATCCCCATCACCCCCTCCCCGGACAGCGTCTGCAAGCGTGTCCGCTTTACTTCACTCAGCTCCTTACAGCTCCCCCGCGACAATGGATGGGAATCCCGCGTTCTCCCTCTCGTTTCTGTACAGCAACGACCCGATCTACTCGCTCTGCGCGTCGGATCTGATGACGGCTTCCCAGTCCGTGAATAACAACTTCATCAAGGAACAGAAACTTCTGGTGAAGGTAAAGCTCTTAAAGTGTTTTCATGGCTTGGGCAGGTCAGGGATGTTAAGGTCACAGCTCTAGTTGTGTGCCCATTGGACCTAAGGATCAAGCGCACCGCATTTTCGAGATGTCCAATATACTGTACCTCGCTTAGCAGTAATTGTGGGTTTGTAATGTCAGTGAATATGGTGTACCGCTTTCACCACTTTTGTTACAGCACGTTATAGTACGGTATATGTGATCGCCACATACAATGCGCGTTTCAGGGTAACAATGGATGTGATCTTTAATTCATCAAACTCGGTTGAATTGTTTGCTTTTTCAGTTCTGCTGTAGTTTCAGTATTTGAACTTTCCCTGTCAACAAGCCGTCTTTCGCGATAAACTTATTTTTACCTAGCCTATTGTTTCCCAAAGCGAATTTGGATTAATATACAAATTTGACTCCAGCATTCATTTTCATTTCAACCCAGGGTGTGATATTTGTAATACACTACACGCATGTAGTTTTTTATTTTTTCTGCACTGTTTTATGTTCTCACGTACTGCGCCTTTAAGATTGGTATTGCTATCGGTCCTGATTAGCTTTAGAATGATTGATTTTCATCTTTAAATCTTAATGGCTTTACTCGTGAGTAACACCCTAATCCATTTCTGCCAAGTGTTTTTCAAAAGTGACGTTCAGAATCTCGTTTGTGACTTGGCAAGTCAAGAATTGGGCAATGTTCGAAAGAGGTGACTAAGCCAGCCCTGCTCAGATGAAGATGGGCCTGGCTCAGTTGTTGCAGTTCTTTGACTGGGGATGCAAATTCAAACCCCCTCACCAACAAAATCAAGCTTTCTTTTAGAGACATGGATATCTGAGTACTTTACACCTGAAAAATTCAAAACCTCTGTGGTTAACAACGAAACTCAATGTCCTCTTACAAGTTGCCTCATGAGGAGGAAAAAAAACAAACTTGAAACAATATCTTCCAAAAGGTAATCGATGATCTCAGTGGTCAACCTCAGTTCATGTATCCCGGGCAACAGCAAATCAGATTCTAAAGGACGCGGCAGTGCACTATGCTGATTCCACATGAGTCACTGGAAATAACTCTCCCCTCTAAAACACGTGGGACACCCTTGTGTTTCAAAGTCAAGAAGGAAAAAATCTTTTTTTATTTATGTCATTCAAAAGTCGGCAAAGCTATTCCTTAGACACCAGTTCCACAGACCAAAACAAGGAAACTTTTCCTGGTCTCTCCGGACGCAGCACTAACCTTTGATACTTGACTAAGAGGTAACACATTCCAGCGAATGTTAAACTATAACCCTCAAGGAGGTCATCATCCTCATTTTCCAATTGGAATTTTAGTTGTTATGGTGCCATTATAACTTCTATGCACCCACCCCCACTGCAAACAAAACAGCAAATGTCAGACCCCCCCCCCAAAGAAAAACATTCCCTAAAAAAAATAACTTGCTAGACTTGGCACATCTATTTTTGGGAGGCAACACAACCGATAGTTGAGGAATTTAGCTGGCTTTAAGAAGGCAACCAGACCTTTGACTCGTGACAATTAGGGGTGAGAAAATGCCTTTCGGTCTGTTCAGGGTCTTTTGTGAATTCCCAGGAAATCCACTCCAAAAAGACAATGTCCCGAAGGAAACAAAGGAAAAACACGACACACGAGCAACTTACCGCGATCCGAACAGGTATGAAAGGCAATCTAAGCAGATCCCTGCTGATGGTTACTTTGTTTGAAATAGCCACTGACTCGTCTATGGAGAGGTGATTTTATACGAAAATACTTAACGATTGCCTAAATGTCCATTTGTGTGCTATTTTCAGGAAATTGGAGGAAACCCCGTCACTGTCTGAATTGTTCAAGTAATTTCACAATGACTCATTTTGTCCTCGGTCATACTTGTGTTACAAGTGAAAAACAAATCCCATCAGGCAGCATTGGCTTCATAGACAAGCTGGAACCTTGCTCCTAACACCAATAACAATCACAATTCCCTACATTTCTGTAACCTTTCATCCCAGAGAACCCCCATAGACTGGGGAGGGAACCTACTGTACCTTATCCACCACTGAAGCTGTTCTGCACTAGGAGGCCCACTAGTAGTGCTGAGAAACAAGGAATTGCTCCACCAATAGAATAAAGGAGGAAATTTAGGTAAGGCTGTGCAAGGCCTAGCTTGAACTTAGCCAGGAAAAGGAGAAACAATGCCAGGGATCATCACCGCCACTGTCCGGATCTCGTTTTAACACGTCGTTCAAATGACGGCATCTCTTATAGCACAGGGTCCCTGGTGATCATATTGAGGAATAGTACTTACTGTAAGACTATCCGGATACTGAACAGCTTTCCATTTACACATTAGTACTTTATGATGACTATTGACAATGTAAATGGACTATAAACCCCATTAATGCACCAGTATTTTATTTTTTTATTGTGTACGATTCTTTCTTGTTACCTTATGGCGTTGTACTATGTTGTGTTTAATGTTAATGTTTTTGTTGTTGTTGTTGTTATTGTCTTATTGTTTAACCGTTATGAGCACACTGAGGCACATCCCTAACAACTAAGTTGGTATGGCAATAAATATTGAATATTTAAATATTGAATATGGGTTTGGCAATTCTGTTTTAGAGGGAAGGACGCCACCTACTGGTCCACCACCACTTTCAGCAGAAACCTGTTTTTTCCCGTCCCAGGCCTCACCAGCCCCAGCCTTGCTTAGCTTCTGAGATCTTCGCTCGCATCCCAGTCCCGCAGTCTAATTGCTTTTCCAACTCCCACTCTGCCCCCCAGACCCTCAGGAAACTGGAGCAGCAGCAGCTGAGCCGCGTGCGCCAGCTGAACGAGGAGAAGAAACAATTCGCTCTCCTCATGAAGAAGAAGCTGGCCCCCAGAGGGAGGGCTCTTCGTACGCCCCCCGCCGGCTCCACCAGCTCCGCGGTCACGGCGGACAGCCCGAGGAAGGCCCCTGTCTCTGTCTCCGCGTGCTTCTCCATCGGCAGCAGCCGGCAGAGCAGCGCCAAGGGCAGCCAGAGTGGAGGAGGCAGCTTCCAGTCAGAGTCCCGCACGCGACGCCCAGCCTACCCACAATCCCCTGGTGGAGAGGACCAGGATGTAAGCGGTAGAAAGATCAACGTGAGTAACCATGACCCCAGAGCGCCTTTTCTCCACTTCTCAACACTCCAAGGTTCTGTCTTTATCGAAAAGAGTGTGGTCTGTTCATAAGATATCTCTTCACCTTCACCTTTAGGTCAGGGCGACACAGAATGTGGATCTTCCAATCCACTCCGAACCTGTGTCTTATACGTCATGATGTGATTGATACGGACCGCTAAATATCGGTTAAAGAAATGGAACAGTCTTTGCAAAAATTCTCGGATAAAGAGGATTACAAAGGCTGCCGCCCAAGTGGTTTTACCTCAGGATAATGTAATGATGGAAAAAAGAAACGCAACATTTTCTGGAATGAGAATATGATAGTTATAGCTTATGAACTTTCACAAGAAGTGCAGAGAAGGTTTCAGCAGACCAGAAGGACAGATGACCATACCAGAGCCAGACTGACACATCAGACTCGTCCATCTGAGAGATCGTTTCAGATTTGCCACCCTACAGCTGCTGAAACTGCCAGCAGACACAATGCCCGCATCAGTGATAGGTCAGTGAGGCTCCATGCTGCTGGTCTTAGAGCAAGGCGACCTGTCAGAGGCCCTCTGCTCACAACCTGAGACAGAGGACTCTCGTCAGCAGTGGCATCAGGTCCTCCTCACGGATGAGTCAACTCTTCAGCCTGTTCCACGCAGACGGGAGGGCCAGAGTGTGGAAGAGGAGGTGTTGCGTTTCTTTTTTCCATCAGGATATATTTCAAAGCTAAATGTTTTATTTCATAAAGGAGATTTGTTTTTGCCTTCACAAACTAATTCTACACTTTCTTTTAGAAGCCTTACTGGATAGTACAGGCTTCATGTTCACTTCATACGTTTTAATTAAACTTGTCTTTCTTTGCTAAAATGAAGCTACATCAGTGATGATGGTTGGTACCTTATTATTATCCTACACCCTTATCAAAACTACATTATGGCAGAACATTCCTTTCATTTCATTTATGAGACAGACAGACACCTTGTCTGTTACTTTCTTATGAAACACACATGAACAGAAAAGATTAAAAAATATATATTGTGTTTTTTTCTTTGTTTAAATGTAGGTTTCAAAGACATACTTCGTTTCTACAGCTCCTAGATGCTTCTGTGAATGCGGTCGCTCCATTAAACTGCTGACAAGAAGTGAAATCTGTCTTCCGGCACGGCAGGATCAAACATCCATCGGAGACTTTTAAGAAGGGGACTTCAGAGCACAAAAATCAGGATGGTCAGTTGAGCCACATGAGAATAATTTAATACCCCAGGAGGGCCAGGTGGATGTTAACCTACAAGGTCTTCAAAAAACATCTAAGTCTGAGTTTGTGCCATGGTTTGCTAGGCCTCTTATATCTATGCAGAGGGTAAAGGTAAAGGTACTGTGGTTTCTGGTACAAAACATGCTGATAGGTTAATTAGCAAAATTGGCCCTGGTGTGTGTATGTTTCTGTGTTTATGACTGTGATGGACAGGCATTTTGTCCAGGGTGTACACTGCCCTGTGCCTATTGCTTGCCATTATAGACTGCAACTCCCTCCACAACCCTGAATTGGAAGACGAAATTAGAAAATGGATGGATAGATTTTCAATGTGCTGTTGACCAAATATTGTGTGCATGTGTAAAGTTCTTTAACTCAGACATGACATGCTATGGAAAACGCATTCTAAAAACCAATATAGGTTCTGTGTTAATTGTTAGGTAACACTGAATCAGTAAGACTGTAACTTGTAAAATTATCATTGTGAAAAATATCAAGCAAATGAATATATTTAATTTACAGTAATTGCTGATGTTCACATCTTTATTATTGGTTATAACAGAATAATTGTTTTTATAAATCTGACCATTATACTGTCTGATTATACATATTATTTAATATAAACTGAAATATATTTCAGTTTAGACTCAAGGGTTTATACTGTTTTGGGCTAAGCAGTTACTGAAAATGAATGGATGAATTATTCATTAGTGTTAAATATGAAATGCATGTACTGTTTCAAAATCTTCAGTATGCCCTTAACATTCAATTACCTCCCTGAAGTGCAACTCACTGTCAGATGAAACTGAATTAGCTTCTTGTCCAATTGGTGCCTTCAAATTCTCAGTAGTAAACGAATAGAAACAGGGGTTCAGTTCAGATGATACTGTATGTGTAGCCAAGCCTTTCCTCCATCATGTATATCAGGAGACCTGCCTAAAAGGAACTCCAGTATTTAAAGGTTTCCTGTAGGAAAATTAACACAGTGCCAGCTGTGTGTAGTCTGGCAGTATCCTGCTGTCAGTCCCATTTCTCTCATGAGAAATTAATTCAAAATAAGCTCTGGAATCAACTAAGGAATTAATGAAGACTAAAAAGCTTTGTGCCTGACATGCCACACCCCGCTGTATTTTAATAGCTGTTTGACTAACAGTTCCTGAGTTAGGTGCAGGGAGGCACCAAATTTTCCCAATATATTTTCCCCTTCCAGACATCCGTTTTCAGAAACTGCAGAACCCTTAGAATCCCCATGCCTGATAAAACGAACATACTCAATTAAAAAAAACAGTATGTCCAGTAGGTTACTGTTGTTTTGCTTAGATGCATCAGACACTAAAAGGTGTATGTTCGTGTCACATCAATTCCATTCTTTTAAGATTTCAGGTTCAATTAATTATTCACTGAGCACTAACGAATATTTTCTTCCATGTCATGAAATGTTATTCGCTGTACTATTTGGTCAAATGGGGGAATTTCGAAATCAGTCAGACGATAAAAATGAAGAGTATGGGATTGACTGATCTTCGCTGCAGGATTATTATGAGCAGCAGAAAACGCTGTCTGTCAGAGCTGACTCTCAGCTGTAGACTGAATTCTTCACTGTAAACTTTGCTCTGATTTTTTTTTTGTTGGTTTATGTATATGTTACATAAGAGCATACTGTATGTTGTGTTTACATTTGAAACTGAACGAGATCAAATAAAATCACGAATGAATACAGAAATGGAAAAAATGCCTTGCCTGATCCTTGTTTATATTTAATTTAGACACAATACAGTATATATATATATTGTATAAAACAAGTGCAAAGACTATAATATTATTTTATTTTTATTCAAAGGGTTTTGATGCACACACCGGCTCTCCCTAATTAATCATTCCATTTATTAATCTCCAACGGAATAATTGTATAATCAGACACTCAGTAGTTCATTCAATACAGTATCTAAAATCGGACTGAAGGAGAATCAATAGGAAATAGCATATACCGAAACATAACACGAGCAGAAGGCTACATAAGCGATAATTAACTGCTCCTGTGTCGGACAATTTATGTCACATCAATAATTTGTAGTTTCTAACGTCAGGGTAGCATTTTCGGAGAAGAATTCCACAAAAACGCTCGTACCTCATCAGACACCGTCCGAGTCAGTCCTGCCACACGAATTACATTATAATCGTAAACAAGATCTCAGGTTTTCAGACGTTTCATTTGAAATAACTTTGATTCTCAAATGTCCTATGTATAATATCACGGATTGACGCAATAAAGAAGCACAGATTGCTCTCCCGATCAAAACCATAAAACATTCAAACTAATTTCTAAAACTCCCACTTTTCAGGTCATGCCCCCTGCGGAGGAAAACAGTTAATTCGAATTGAAATAACGTCATGAAGTAATCCAAGAGTTTAAAGTTACTACCCATCGCTCATCTTAATTAGATCCAATTTAATTCAATTATCCTTTTTAAAGGCTCAAAGAAGGATTTGTGCAAGTCGAAAACTCTAATACCAAGTACACGGAAAAGTGTAAGAAGCAAGGGGCTGATAATAAATACAGCAATTGAAAGCAGACGTAGAATCTGCTGCAGTCCTCATAGGCAAAGGTGTATTCACCTGCCGTCAGGTTCAACACCTCTTACTGCAGTCTAGACAGTTCATCAGCTACAGTCTCCAATAGAGTAAAACTGCGCTTCAGGCGCAGCTATGACATCACCCCCTGTGACGTAACCGCGGTCGCCTCCAGGACAGCAAGGCGGTGCTGAACTTGCGGACGGCTTGGCCTGACTGGGGCGGCGTTACAAGTGGAGCTGTCGGAAATTACGGGGTCGCAGTTCCTAGAGTACCGAGGGGGGGAAGATCGGAGACTAGGTTTCGGGCCTGTTCACAGAGGCAAGGCTGGAGACAAGAGACCAGAAGTTGCCGGCGGGACGAAAAAGGAGGAACGGACGAGGTTGTTTTGGAAGTGTCTGATCTTTCTCTGAGGGAGAGGCGATGGGAGCCGTCCTAGGGGCCTGCTCTGTAGCGAGCTGGGTAAGGGGAGACTTTGTATCACTTTGTTTTTTCCAAATCGTGAACTGAATCAAGATCTTAACTGTTTTCGCAGGTGCCCATAACATATTTATCGGCTAATCATTTGTTACTGAACAAATAAATGAGTTTCACGCAGTCATGGGACCTTGTACGACTAAGGCACGGTAGTAAAACATCATATATATATATAAAAAACACACATGATGATGCACTGAGCTGGTTCTGACTGGGGTGCGTTATGGACAACGATATAAAGCGCGTTAACGTTGCTATGTGTGTATCGGAGCCGGCCCACATGGGTCACTGCCTCCGGTACCGCAGGTCCGGACGTGTCTTGGGTCCGGTGTCGACGAGCAGCGTTTTCTTGAATCTGGTGCAAAATGTACTCGTTTCAGTTTTATATACGTACATCGACAGCTGGTCGGCACTCAAGTCGTCCATTCCGGGGATTTTAAAATGGAGTCGTGCGTGTTTTTATTTCCTCTACCAAACGCTAAAAGAAAAGTGGGTTAAAACCGAAACTTAACCAGCAGCAGCTACTAGAAGAGCAAACGGCGGGACTCTCGGTAGTTGTAACCAGTTGTGGTCAACGTGGTGTCCTACAGACCTCCAGGAGCGTTTGTCTGCCGAGGTGTGTTAACAACTGTTCGTGAGCGTGTTTTCGCCCGGAGCCGAAAACTTCCTGTTTTGCTGTGAACGAGTAAACGGCTGGAGTTGACCAAGGGAGGACCACTCGTACTTCAGACAACCCCGCAGGGTCTCGCTAATTGCGCAGGGAAACCCGGCCGAAGTTATGCTATTTTCTTTATGCGCAATGAACAGCCACCACAGTTGCAGTTGGAAGCCATAATATGGAGTGGGACGGCTTTCATTTCGTAAAAAAAAAACAAAACTGGTCGCAATATGGACATAAATCGACATGTTGACAAGGGGAGCTCGCATGCCCCTCGTAGCGACACCTCCTGTGTGAAACCGTATTACGGAATGGCGAAACGATTCCTAATGGAAAACACCCTACAGTATCCGTCTATTACCGTTGTTACTGTTAACATTTTCGCTTGGCACATCAACAAAGAGCACAAGTCAGTGAGCCCCGATGCGTTAGTCACTAAATTAACACCATTCCATTCCAAAACCAGTGCTGTGTACAGGTGTCCCTGTCCCTTACCAAATTATCACAATCCATCACATTTTTAATAGTTTGTGGTTAAGATTGACTGTTTAATTATCATTATTATTAATTAGTACTTTACCCTATTACTATAATTACGTAATGTACATCATACACCTCCGTTTCACTGCACAAAAATGCCCTACCAGGGCAGCACAGAGAACTGGCCTCTTTGTTAAAATGCTGTGAGAGGGAAAGGGTGAGGATTTTAAATACAGTAGCTTGCTTAGATGAGGGAAGCGTGTGTATTGCCGGCCTTCAGGGATTGAAACCACAGAAAATTCGCTTTCTACATTGCACACCGAAAGATGAGTTCAGGATTTCTTCAACGCTGGTTGAACGCCAGTGCTGTGTGAATGTAGCCTAGAACTTTGACAGATGGGATTGATTCTCAAAACGTATTTTGTTTTTGACTGGGTTTTCCTGTTTATTATTTATTGGGTTTCTTTCCCTAACATGAGTTATGTTACTGTTCAGCGATAGGTTTACACAGTGCAAAAGTTACAAACTGCAAAGTTATATAACTTGGAGAAAATGAGTGTTAAGTATGTGATTGCTATTGTCTGTGCAGTGTCTTCTTGACTTCAGGGGATGAGTTTGCGATGCTGCATTTAAATAATCAGGGCTTATGTGCTTAAAACCAGCACCATGGTCCAACTATTTTGGATAGTTACAAATGAGGAGAGGCTAGCACATCAATTTCACCACCGTGTTGGTAACTACATGATCCAAAGGTCTCATCCAGCTGTTTCTAGAAAGATCCCAGGGTTCAGCAACATAAACGGGTAGCTTGTTCCACACTCCCACAACTGTTTGTGTAAAGAACTGCCTCCTGTTCTCAATTTTAAGTGCACTTCCAAGTATAGTTTCCTTTTGCGTCCTTGTTTTGAGGCTTTATTAATATAGGACTTTCAATTTTAACATCCCTCAATTTAAATTATACACTCTAGACTGTATGTCTTAACATTTTGTCTTTTTTATTAAGGATATAAATGTGTCGACCAAGGTCTTTTTCATAAGTAGTCTCTTCGATTTTAGTGTTTGTTATTTTGTATTTATAGTTTGTTTTTGCTATGTATTTATGTATCTGCACATGTCTGTAGTAAATGCCTTCTGCCAGGTGTCTGCTCAGGCTTCATCTAAATTATTTTGAATTTCCTGTGCTGCTTCCAAGGCAACATTCCCTCAAACATAATCTCCAATAGCATAATACTTGTGACTTAACACACTTTGGCTTTATTGGTGTGTCTGTTCTTAATAGTCTGGAAAAAAAGATCTAGGTAGACGAATTAAACTAATTGCGCTGTTCTAAAAATATAACTTTGATCTTTAATGTCTGTGTTTCTCAGCATGCCATAGACAAATGGTTACTGTTCACAAAAGGCTGAATTAATTGATGGATCTGTAAGGGATTTAAATACAGAAATTAAAAGAGAGTTTTTGTGTTGCCAGGGTCTTTATCAAGTCTCTCGAGTGTCTCCAGGAAGATGTAGGCTTTAAATATGTGATAGTTGCAGGGACTCTAATTTCCAGATAAGTTAACCTGGCACTGATTAACTGTCTTTGCAGATCTAGTCTGACCTTGCCTGTCTGCCAGGAGTTTGTAAGTGGTTTACAGTCTGGATAGGCACCTGATCACTGCAGACATCTTAAAGCTGTAGGATTCAGTTGTGAATTCCACATCCTCACTGAAAACAGCACCCCTGGTACTTCAGAGATACATTTCAGACATACAAGCAATATTCTAACCTGTCTTTCAGTTTTACTGTTTTTGTAAAGGAGTATTTATAATAGTATTTGTCATAGAAGGAAAAGGAAAATCTTAGCATGTTTTGAGATGAAGCCCGAATCTTCTGTTGAAGAATAAATATTACCAGGTCTTTTTAAAAAGCCTGTGTGAACGTTTTCACTGTTGTCTATCTCTGTGCACAGACTAATTGGGAACAGTTCGAATATACCAGTCACAGGGTTTGGTATGGACTGTCCTAGACTGACTCATTGAGAAGTGTGGTCTAAGGAATGCTTGGTTCTCGATGTAAAATGGACATGGCATTCGTCAGTAAAGACATTTGATGTTGCTGGAAGTCTCGCATATTTAAGAGAGCAAAAAATAAAAGACAGTTGTCCAAAGTTGATATGAAGCAAAGGAACATGTGAAGACAAGTTAGTAGGTTACAAATGTTGGATCTGAGATTAACCTAAGACAAGGCCTGCAGATATAGTCTTGGAGAGCCTCTGTCCTGCATGTTTAATTGGTACCCTTGAATAGTCAGTGAGAAGACTTGTGAAATGCACATAGTCTCCTGATTAAATAACTAATTGATAAGATAAAACCCTGAAAACACTCATGCACTCCAAAAGTATAGCACTGTAGCACTCCAGAAGTATAGCACACCAAGTGCAGCAGAATATTGAGCCACACAGACAGATGGAACCCATTCACAAAACTGTGTCTCCATGGGGGTACAAGCAAATGTTCAGTAAATAATATAATTATAATAATTACTTACACTTAATGTAGCCCCATTCAAAGTGCTTTACAGGTAATGGGGACTCCTCTCCACCACCACCAGTGTGCAGCCCCAACTAGATGATGTGACAGTAGCCATAGTGCACCAGAACGCTCCCCACACACCAGCTCTCAGTGGGGAGGAGAACAGAGTGATGAAGCCAGTTCAGAGATGGGGATTATTAGGAGGACATGATTGATAAAGGCCAATGGGAAATTTGGCCAGGACGCCAGGGGTTACACCCCTACTCTTTTTGAGAAACGCCCTGGGATTTTTAATTCCTCAGAGAGTCGGGACCTCGGTTTTACGTCTCATCCGAAGGACGGCACCTTTTTACAGTATAGTGTCCCCGTCACTACACTGGGGCATTAGGACCCACACAGACCACGGGGTGAGCGCCCCCTGCTGGCCCCACTAACACCTCTTCCAGCAGCAAACCTTAGTTTTTCCCAGGAGGTCTCCCATCCAGGTACTGACCAGGCTCACACCTGCTGAGCTTCAGTGGGGCTGCCAGTGGTGAGTTGCAGGGTGATATGGCTTTTGGCGTCCATTACATCCGTCATTGTGCTGCCAAACTTAGTGGTTGACTGTTTTGTGGAGCTATAGCATGTGTCTATTGCAGTCGTCTGTTGAACACAGCTGAAGGGCAGCTGTTTGTTGCCAATTACTCAGTGCCTGGGTGTTGTTTGTTTTCTGTCTCTGCCAGATTCCATGCCTGTGCAGTAGTGCCTCTTGCCTGCTGTGCAGGTGCTGCCCGAACAGTAAGAACTCCACAGTGACGCGCCTGATCTATGCTTTCATCCTGCTGCTGGGGACGATCGTGGCCTGCATCATGCTGGCTCCAGGTATCGAGCAGCAGCTCAAAAAGGTAAATTAATCGGCTAATCATATCAGATCACTTTATTGGCCTTATACAATTTCGTGTATTAGGAATTGGTCTTTTCACATACCCCAACTTGCTCTCCATGAGACATACAGACAGGGAGAGAAGCTGGGGGTCAGAGCGCAGGGTCTGTCATTTATACGGCGCCCCTGGAGCAGTTGGGGCTAATGGCCTTGCTCAGGGGCCCAATGGAGTAGGATTCCTCTGCCGGCCGCGGGATACGACCCGGCACCCTTCCAGCCACAGGCGCAGATCCTTAGCCACAGAGCCACCACACCGCCCAGTGGTTAAAAATAATCAGTCTTTCATGGAGAAATCTTCGCTTGAAATTCACTACCTGACTGGGGGACCTTGCAGAAGTAGGTATATCCATTCTGAAATAAGGTGAACTACTATAAGAGCACACAGAAAGAGGCCACTCAACTAATTGTGACATAAGGTTAAGGTAATTTTTTGCATTTGGATTAATTTAGCTGCAAAACCCACAGGAAAGAGTTTCAGTACTTATGCAGTCAAGACTTGTTCATTTTTTCCTTCTTATTATGTTTATTTTTTTCTTTTTGTTGTTGCTCTTAATGGGTTTTGTATCTATCAAACATTAACCGCTACTTCAAAGTTTTGCAACTGCAACTTTTAAAGCACCCAAACGTAAAAACCGTGCAAGGGTCTGAAGAGCTTTGCAAGGAACTGTATGTTTCCCGTCTCTCATTGAACAAAGGCAAATAAATAAATAAATAAATAAATACCGGTGTTACCAGTTTGAATTGTTTGGGGTGACACAAAGTCATGGTCTTTGAGGGATGTAAGATACTTCTGTTGTCATTTTGAGAAAAATCCTATTTATGGGTCTGAAGGATACAAGTCAGTCTCAGAAGCTCAAAATTGAAGAGGGACCCATGAAGCTTGAAGACTTCCTCTGCTGTACCTCCCCCCTGCTCTGTAAAATAACAACCAATTTCAGGCTCTTTCACAAAATGTTTTCTGGTGCAGGAGAGGAGAAAAACATGGACCTATGCTTTCAAGGTCAAATGTCTAGTCTAAGTTTTGTTTCTGGCTCGTTATTGAAAAACAGAAACCCCCTTTTTTTAATGGATGTCCTTGAGCGTCCCACACTGCAGTACTGTAACAGTGGTTTTCATGTGCTTGCTGAGGAACTAACCCCGCTGTTGTAAGTACTGGAGGAAATGTGGAAGACGTGATAAGCTAGCAGTACATTTCAAGCAGATAAGTGTGGTTTTATTTCATTGTCCTTCAAAGGTTTGATTAAATACCCGCCTGATAGGACTTTTGAGCTTATTTTCCTTCCCCTCACACACACGGTCAGAATTTGCTGCTGTTTTGTTTCTGCTTCTCTAGATGTTGTGAAGCTACAGAGTTTGTGTGCAATGTTTAGAATAATCAGAATTCACTGAATTTCTAGACACGCAGGGATTTCAGATTCAATTCCCCGCCACTAGTACAGTATAATTTAATTTTCTCTAGTCTAAAATATGATTTTTAAATTAGTTTTTTTATAAGGGATTTGAGCAGTTTTGTCTTTTGACAATTTTTAGTGGCCGGATCAATTATTAGCTGGTTCAGGTTCTTATTATGAAGTGAATTCATTTTGAGGCATTCAGTTTTTTGTACCCTACATTTGCTGGCAGTTAGGTGTGCTGTACTTGAGGCCATGATGGTTAATGCGTGGAATCAAGGAACATCAACTTGAGCCACTTGACTCCGGAGTTGGATCCCCTCATTTCCTCTGTGTAAAGATGTATCGCCTGTGTTCTGTCCACGAAAGATCCTGAACCTTATTTCCACTTGTTTCCCTGAGCCCTCATGTTGCAGCACAACCATTTTTGGCAGACAAAAAAGCACACTAGGTAGTAAAGAATAAATCCGTGGAAACCACATGTGTAAAATAGATGATTAGTATCCCATGCAGAAGGCTTACTCTAAGCAATCCGTTTGAGTCTCAGTAAAAGATGGTGCACTAATACAGCATCGGATTTTGTGGCCATGAAATTGTTGGACGGGCTGTAGCTTTCTGTGATTAACTGTCTGCCACGCTCCCTGCGGCAGATACCGGGCTTCTGCGAAGGAGGAGCAGGGACGTCGGTCCCAGGTATCCACGGCTCTGTGAACTGCGACGTGATTGTGGGGTACAAAGCCGTCTACAGAATATGCTTCGGGATGAGCGTCTGCTTCCTGGCCTTTGCTCTGCTCATGATCAACGTGAAAAACAGCCGCGACCCAAGAGCCGCCGTGCACAACGGGTAGGTCCCCGCTCTTGGCTTTTTCCCAGAAATCGGGTGTGGCCGGCTCATTTTTTGGGGGGGAAAACGACATCCGCTGATCATCGGAATTTTACGACACGTTTTCAGGGACCGTGGTGGGGCAAAGAATTCTGGCTTGGCAAGAATGAGATAAAGAGGGGAAAAAAGTGCTACTTTAATAGCGATCAAAAGGAGAAAAAAAGGGAACTTGCCCCTTGCAAGCTTTATGGTCTGAAAAAAAATCTGTTTAGTGATCTACTTACTGCTGTCGAGTTATGTGAATCCTTCCTCGGGTGAACTGACAGGTCAACTTCTGGAGTGATAGTTTGAATCGTGTTCCTGTATGTATGTTTTTATTACCAGATGTCATGCTCAGCTAACATGGTTTTGATTTCTGTTTCTTTCTGCAGGTTTTGGTTTTTTAAGGTCGCTGCCATCATAGCTGTAACGGTTGGTGCCTTTTACATTCCAGAGGGGCCATTTACTCGAAGTAAGTCTGGTCGCTGTTGGAAGTCTGCAGTTTGTTTTAGGCCTCAGTGCTGTTTGTCACTAGTCTTTGGTTTCCTGGTTTATTTGGAAAGACGTTAAAAGGTATCAATCATACGTGTGCAGTTATATCCTGTGGGCACTGCCACAGGATATGGTTGTACGTGTTCGAAGGACACGAGGCGCCCCTTTAGTTTAAAACGAAGCCCACCCTTCTTTCCTCTTCTGGGGCTGTGGGTTAGTAGGTGAAGGCTGAGGCGAGTTGGTCGAGTGAGCAAATGTGTCTGTGGACCACTTGTGCCTCATAACGTAAGTTGCAACTGCAAAACTATTTTCAGATTTCGGGGTCAGAAAGAATCAGCACTGATGAGTGCATTTCAAACCACAGTAAAAGTAAAATGTACGCAGTAACATGTAAAACCTCCAATTAACGTCACAAAATAGACTAAATTTCCAGGTATGCAGAGCACTATATTTTGCAATTCAGCATGAGGCAACAAAACATCTGGTAATGTGAAGTGGCCCTTTTACATTGTAAACAAGCAGGCTTCCAATAGAAATATTGCTTTCGACTTCAAGACAGATCTGCTGACACATATTACTTGTTAACCGCATGCAGGTCATGCCAGCTGCACAAACTGTACTTATCTGCTCATTCATCGCATTACATTAGTCATGATGGTGACTAGTGAGCAGGAAGGGCCGGTTTACATCACAATTCTTGCAAACTCTCGTGTCGACATGTCGACTGTCCAGGACTTTCACAAAGTTCCTGATCTTGTGCTCAATTCACAATCTGTAAAACTTTCCAATACAGCCAATTCATTTATTTTGTTACCGAGATTTAATCACCGGCCTGGGACTGCAGTTCCACTTTAAAGGTTGGAATTTAACAATTTGAAAATACTTTTTGTCAATGAGAACTTGTTTCTCTAAGAAATTATTAGCCTTTGAGCAGCTAGCTGTGGATGAACAAATGTAACCGAGCCCTGCGGTCTGAAACCTAGGGGTAGACTGAGCTGGCCGTCAATGTGAAGAACTCAAAAAATAGAGTTCCTGGAAATGAACACACTACTGTCTTTTTCTCATTCAGCGTTCATTGCCGGAAGACCACTGTCGAAACGTTTTCTGCTTCACAGTACGGCAGTCTAGTCGCAGTGTTCAGAGGTGAATTGACCCCCCTGTGCCGACGTACTGACCTGAGGTTTGTGTCTGCAGCCTGGTTTGTCGTCGGCACCTCTGGAGCTTTCTGCTTCATTCTGATCCAGCTGGTGCTGCTGGTGGACTTCGCTCACTCTTGGAATGAGTCCTGGGTGGAGAAGATGGAGGAAGGCAACTCGCGGTGCTGGTATGCTGGTATGTGATGCCGGGTTTTTCGCCCTGAAGGGTGAGGGGGTCTGTGTTTAACTGAGGCCTTTAACTAAACCCCAGAGGCCTTGATAACCCAGCCCTCCCTCCATCTCCTGGCTGCCACAAGTCCGCGTGTCCAGATCCAGTCAGAACCCTTTTAAAGATTCTAGCTATTCCCTATTCCCCACACTGCCTCTATTTCTAGAAGCTAGTGGTTGCTACGCCTGACATCAAAGGCTCATTAGTAGCCTCTTCAATCTCATTCCTGAGCTTATGGGGAAATCGTTGGTTGCATTCTGTTAAAGTGTAGTTAACGCAGATAGGTATTTTGCCATGCCTGTAATGCACTTCTTATAATTGCTTAAAATCTAGGCATTCTGTTTTATTACCATGTTAATATTACAGGTTACTGAGATTTCTTGTGGGTATTTTTAGCAATTGTACTTTTTTCAGTGGAACAAGCATGGCAGGGAATGAAACAGTGGGCTGTTCGTTAAGTCCAGTGATTGGACGAGAAGCTTTCATTGGCGCCCTAGAAACGGCGGCATGGTTAGACTGCTGCCCTGGGTGCGATTTCTGTAGGTGTCTGCCGAGCTGAGCACACTACGCTGTACGACACGCCCTCAGCAAGAGGCTGGTGCTAACTGTAGCCACGCACTGTGTTTGTGGCTCGGCACGGAGGGCGGCGGGCAGACCTTATTTGGTTTCACGAGTGGCTTAGCGATGCAAAAACCATTTATGCTTCTTTAACCCCAATACAAAAAAAATACACTTAAAATAGGTGCTAGTCACATTTTTTTAAATGTTTTTTTTTTGTCCCTCATTGGATCTAAAAGACAGTAAAC